TGTCAGCATAGCATTTTTTGTGTTTCCAGGTGCTCATCAACGCAGATATATTATTGTTTTTCACTGTTGGCCTTTATTGTTCTCTGTCAAGTCTTTTTTTCTTATTACAAAAATTTCTTTCATTTTATTCCTTCTTATAAACAATTTAGCCATAACAACTGTTAGTTTTAAAAAAAATCATAATTCAAAATTTTGCATTACATATTGTTTTCCTCCAATATACATCAGTGAACTTTAAACATCTATGATATATTCATTTATGGTTTATAACACTAAATAAAACAATACTATTCTTCATCTTTTGTAAATGTATAGGTTTATGCTCTATACCTTAGGGTAATTCAAAAAACTCAAAGAAAGATAATGTGCCCAGAAATGGCTCCTGGGCAGGTAACATTTATAGAAGATATAGAGCATATGTTAGATCAACAACAGTGGGAAAATTAATATCTCATTTCAACAGATTTGCCTCTCCATTTTTCCTTAGTGTAGTGCATTTGCAAACAGCACGTTCAAATCCCAGAGAGTTCAGCATTTGAATGCTCTAGAAAAGTAGAGACTAATCACATTTGCATAAGAAAAATAAATTAAAGCTTGTGGACTGTTACCAGGATGTTAATACTTCCTGCAAGGCAGGGGGCCAGGAACCTCTTCACATCTTCTGAATATGTTAAGGTCACTAGCAGTAAACTATGGCACATTTGAATTATTTATTGATTGCTTTTACTTTGAAAGGTAAGCACTTCATAAAAACTTAGAAAGAAGATAGCAATGTGCCTTCTTATCTTTTCCATTAATTGTATAACTTCTGTAAAATAATAGTTTTAAACTTTAAAGTTCATTAAATGTAAAACAATAATGGTTGTTAGAAAGAAGATAGCAATGTGCCTCCTTATCTTTTCCATTAATTGTATAACTTCTGTAAAATAATAGTTTTAAACTTTAAAGTTCATTAAATGTAAAATAATAATGGTTGTTACATTTAAGCATGTTTCTATAGGAAGAAATCAAATTTTATTTCCCCTTTAAAAATGTCTGTTGGGGCTGGAGAGATGGCTCAATGGTTAAGGGCACTGACTGCTCTTCCAGAGGTCCTGAGTTCAATTCCCAGCAACCACATGGATGGTTCATAGCCATCTATAATGAACCTGGCGCCCCCTTCTGGCTTGTGGGCACACATGGAAGGAATGCTGTATACATAATAGATAATTTTTTTTTAAAAAAAAAAGTCTGTTGTATACGGTCAAATTCTGACATTTTATTACTGCTATAATATCCCTGAGAATATGGTTTCTCATTTATTTCACAGTTGGAACAACCTTCATCACACCAGTTTCTAAAGAGAGTGGTTTTTTAGGAGGGATTAATAATAACTAAGGAGACTTTAGCTCCCAGAACCTGTTGAACACCTTTGACTTTGTTTAAATAATCAAATTAATAAGATTTATATACTAGAGACATCGCTGATCACTTCACAGCTACCTACAACATAAGAAAAATCTTTGAAGCTAAAGGCACTAATATACTGTTCATATAAGATGTCTTTTCTAGAATATTTCTTTTTTTCATATTTCTTTTTAGGTGAGGTTGAATGTTTATTCAGGGGGTTATGGAGGAGGAAGGGTGAAGGGGGGGACAGAGAGAGGGAGAGAGAGAGAGAGGGAGAGAGAAAGAGGGAGGGAGGGAGGGAGGGAGGGAGGGAGGGAGGAAGAGAAGAGAAGAGAAGAGAAGAGAAGAGAAGAGAAGAGAAGAGAAGAGAAGAGAAGAGAAGAGGAGAAAGAGACAGAGAAGGGGGGAAACAGAGAAGTGGGGAGAGAGGCAGAAGCGAAGCTGCCTCTCCGGGAGGAAGATGGAAAAAAAGAGTCTAGAATATTTCTTTACTACATAACCAGATTTTGTTTAGAAATGATGGCAGGGATCTTCACAAAGTTATCTAGTCAACAACTGGCTGACAGAAATGAGGTCTTCAGGAGGCTTGACAAAATATAGGCATCCTCAAAAGAACTCACCATTGAAGAATTCATAAAAATAACCCATGATTCATGAGAAGATATCAGGATACCAATATTAGTATGCAGTGTTAACTCTTAATTTGATAATATCAAGAGAAAATAAGTAGTGGTGATCATTGTGTTGTGTGTAGGTGAAACGCCCAACTCACTGAAACATACATAATTCAAGAAGAGGTGCTCACACTGTTGGAGATGGATTTACATGAGCATATTCATAACTAATTGCTTCATGTCACCAAAGTTCTTCACAAGCAGGAAGCACAAAGTATAACTGAAATGTATCAGCCTAATGTGTGAGAGCTGACATAGCTACAAGTTGTTCTCAGATGCAAGACAGGAACAGTCGCAACAATTTGATTCAATGTTTGATACCTAAACTAGATTCCCCAACTCATCCCTCTGTGGTTTGCGCTGTCCTTACTCTCACTCAGCATATTCATTTTCCACACTTATCTTTTTTTTTAAGATTTATTTATTTATGTATACAACATTCTGTCTCCATGTATGCACGCCAGAAGAGGGCGCCAGGTCTTATTACAGATGGCTGTAAGCCACCATGTGGTTACTAGGAATTGAACTTGGGACCTCTGGAAGAGCAACCAGTGCTCTTATCCACTGAGCCATCTCTCCAGCCCTCCACACTTATCTTTTATTCATCAATAAAAATAAAATAGATTCTTCAAAACCGAAACATGTCAATTATGCAAGTAAAATATTGATTCCTCTTTCATGGTTACAACTCATCCAAGAGACATCCAAAACATGTTTAATATTGGTAATCACATTAAGTATCATTTCATCAAATAATATTATATCATAATACTTAATAGTTTTGAGTTTTGAGACAGAGTTCCTCTGTGTAGCTTTTGAACCTGTCCTGAAACTCATGTTGTAGACCAGGCTGGCCTTGAATTCACAGAGATTCACCTGACTCTGACTCCTGAGTGCTGGGATTAAAGCCATGCGTCATCACTGACCAGCTTAATAGTTAACACTTTAAAGGACATATGCCATATCATTTTCTGAAATTGTAGCTAAAAAGCACCAATGTGAATGTAATAAGGATATAAAACAAAGAAGCCAACTTTCCAGGGTCTAAAGAATTACTGGACACGGGTTGATAAACATCAATACCAAGAAATCTGGCAATGAAATATGAAAAAAAAACTGAGTTGAGTTTGATAAACACCCCCACTTTTTGACATTTTGAATCATAAATTTATATTATAACCTGTATCAGTAAATGATATTTGTCGGAGATAAACAATAAATGGGTGTTTGTCATGGGGGAGATGTAAAATCATATTCAAGCTACTTAGAATTGAAACTGCAAAGATGGGGGGGAAGACAACAGAACCCGTAAATGCACTGATATAAATGTTCATTAGAATATTTTCACCACAATTACATTTTCTTATTAAATACTGCCTTAGAAAAACATTGTATATGAAAATATCACTGAATAAAATGGATTTCATATGCTCTTATCTGGGGAATATTAAATAAAGAAAAGATGGATATAGCACCTTTGGAATTTAATTTTTGAAAATATCACTATGATTTATAAAAAAATATTAAATACTGTAAAAGAGATAAAAATCAAACAAAGGTTACAAAACAAGATTGACATTTTTTAGGATGTAGGTGATTGCTAAACAAAAGGAAATAAGGAGTAGGACTTGAAATTTGGAAGACCTATCTGGTGAGGGGACATTGGTGGAAATGGAGTGGGCCATTCGATCATATTTTGTTGTATATATGTATAACATTTTCAAAGAATACACTAAAATTAATAAATAAGTTATTAAGTTAAGACAACAAAATCATGTTTTCAAGTATTTTAAGAAGTTAGATTTCTTGTATGTAACTGGGAGATGAGGAAAATTGTAAAACCACATGTCCTGGTACTTTCAAGATTCAGAGAAAAATACCTATCCAAAAAAAAAAAAATCGATAACGCTAAAATTAGGGAACCATGAAGCAGTCAGTGACAGACAAATGAATATTTTTAAATACATAAACTCAAAAGAAGAAAATAACAATTTTGGTTTTAGAATTAAAATACGGAAAGTTAACTATAAAACCTTAGTTTTTCTAATTTTCATATATAAAACAAAGCATACACTAACATTTCAATATCAGCTGTTTTTGTTTGTTTCTGCAATGGCTTTGAAAAATATCATAGTGATGCATTCACAATTCAGAATCAATAAGGCATTGTACTTGAGTGAAAGAGAAACAGATAAACAGGCTGTCACATCTAAAAAAGTATGAGCAGGGCTTTAGATATTGCTCAGAGGGAAGAGGCTTACTACTTCAATATTAATATTGACTTGTTTATAACTACCCGTTACCAGTACCTGTGAGATTCAACGTCTCTCACCTTCATGGGAGATCTGCACCTATGTACACACACAAACACACGTAAATGATCACACACTCATACTCAGTGTTATAAAACATGCAAGCAAAATTAATTTATATTTATATTAAAATAACCAGAAAATCACTTTTACTAAAAGTCAATGTCGTCAAGATAGTCTTCAAAATTTATTAGTTTATACCTGTATGAATGACATGTTTTCTGAAAAAGACTTAGAGACTATTTTTAATCATATTTTATTTATTAATACAACAAAAACAGTGAAGATAAATGTCCCCCCCCAAAAAAATATTGCAGACAAAAATGTAAGTTACTGATATAGAGTATCTAATTTGTCCACCTTTGATAAAATATAAACTTGTGTATTACTGAATTAAACATTTATTCTGAAACAAGAAATGATAGTCAGAATGCAATATTAAATTGATATTTAAACTATAAGAGTAAGCTTAAGTACATATAAGTGTAACAGTATCTGTTAACATGAACTATAATACATTTTATGAGGAGTTAAATTGTGCAACTATTTAAGAAATTTTATGTGTGATAGCTATAGTTATCAAATATTATTATAGAATTATATAATACTGACCAAAACAAAGTCTTCATAGAATTTTAAAGACTCTATGCAAAGCACTTTTGACTTCTTTGTTCCTTAAACTGTAAATCAAGGGGTTTAGCATGGGGATCACTAAAGTATAAAACACCGAAGCCATTTTGTCCGTTTCAAATGAGTGAGTAGATTTAGGCTGCACGTACATGAAGAGAAGGGACCCGTAGAACACCACCACCACTGTCAGATGGGAACCGCACGTGGAGAAAGCTTTCTTCCTACCTTCTGCAGAACGCATTCGAAATATGGCTAACAGAATCAGCGTATATGACGAGAGCACCACGAGAAGAGACGAGATTAAATTAAAGGCTGAAAACAATATAGTCAGCAATTCCGTCTCTTGCACTTGCGAGCAGATCAAAGGGAGCAAGGGGACAACATCACAATAGAAATGACTAACGACGTTAGTGCCACAGAAAGTCAACGTGAAATACTTAATAGGGAACAGCAGAGCCTGGAAGGTCCCGTAGAGGTATGGGATGCCGACAAGCACATGGCAGCGCCTGGGAGACATGACGGCACTGTAGAGCAGAGGGTTGCAGATGGCCACATAGCGGTCGTAGGCCATCGAGGACAGGATGGAAAGTTCGCTGATGATGAACATAATGAAGCATGCCATCTGTGTGGCGCAAGCATAATAGGTGATGGTGTTTTGATCTACAACAAAATTCACCAGCATCTTGGGACAGATGGCCGTGGAATTCCCAAGATCGATGAAGGCCAGGTGTCTGATGAAAAAGTACATCGGGGTGTGTAGGTGAGAGTCCAGCTTGGTCAGAATGATCATGCCGAGGTTTCCCACCACGGTGATTGCGTAGATGGTGAGGAATACTACAAACAGAGGCAGTTTCAACTCAGCACTCTGGGTAACTCCCATCAGGATGAACTCCTTAGGCATTGTTGCATTGTGTCGGTCCATTTGTTTGATCGAGAATTAGTTCTTCTTGAAGAAACTAAATAAAATTTTATTTTATTAAACCATTTTTATGACCCTATAAACACTGCAGTGGTCATAATTAGAATAGATATTTATTCACAAAATAGGCAACAAAAGTAATTTTTACATATTTTTGAACAAAATAAAATTTGGCTTTCTAAAGTAGGGAAGATGTATGAAATACATAAAGGAATAGAAATAATCTCAAAACCCAGCAAGTTTTCATGTAAATACATAAAAAAATGAATCCATGTAAGTAATAAATATTCAGTTTCAAAAGACTTACACAGTCTATCATATCAGATTTCCATCCTTTCTGAAAATTCATATACAATATTTTCTCTAGGCCATAGAACTAATGCAAATATACAATCATGTCACCAACTGAATATTGAATAATAAGGTTTAGCCATGATCAATAAATGGAGTGTGTAACTATAACTGTCATATTGGCAGTAGCCAATCTGGATAAAATTTCAAGTGATTATATATATTTGATATTTAGTGAGTACACTAATGATTTTTATTAATTGACAAAGCTATCTACCATCATGTAGTAATGGCTTCAAAGAACATTCTTACTTCCAGTGTCTGAAATGTGACCGCTATTTTGTTACTAAAATTATCGTATTTATATATTGGATTGCATTTTGGCAATAGTTTATTTACAATAGGACACATATTTTCTATAATACAGAAATATTCACACTTATGTTTTAACTTACTCATCTGTTTCATTTTTAATAAAGAAAAATCCATAATTAGCATAAGTCTTAAATGCTCAGAATCTAGTCCTCAAAATATGTATGATTTAAATAAGCATCCAAGGAGGTCAAACGCTTAATTCAACGTTCTTTATTTCCTTCCTCACTGTAAAAATAAACTTTATAAAGTAATCAATTATTTGAAATGTTATACAAATTCTAAAATTTTTATATCACAGTATTTGTGATGTGCAATTTTATGATTTTTAAAATATTTCAATGATGATAGCTTCATTTTTGCAATAAATGTAAATAATCAGAAAAGATGCAATGAAAGTATAGTTGGTTTACTCTAATACATTTAAATTCTCTCTATTATATTCTTTTTGACCTCATTAGGAACGTGCGACTTTGTAAGAATATCAGAGTATTCTATGATGATGGAAGACATAATGTAAAGCCAGCTGTAAATAGAAAAACTAGGATTTCGCTCTAAGACGCAAGTCTTCAAGCTTTACGCCAGTGCAGACCTTCGCTGTCTTATTGAAGCTGAAAGCAATCTAAATCTGTAATTGGTATTTTATTTTACCTTTCTGATTCTTGAGCTAGGAACTGAGGAATGTGGTACTTAAAGCTGCTGGCTATTTTTCTAGACTCTTTCAAGATTTACAGTTTTACTTAATTTGTTTATTTGTTTTTGGCAGCCACATAAATACCATGGAAGGAGTGTGTAGGTCAGAGGTAACTTGCAGGATTATGGTCTATCTTTCCATCATATGTATTTAGGGAGTAAACTGAGGTTGTACCCCTGTGTATATGCTGTCATTACTTTGAGACATATTGACACCACTATTTCCTTTCCTGAATTGAGGTTTTTCTTCTATTTCTTCTTTGATTTACAATACTGTTTCAGATTCCTTCTTTCCCACATATAAGAATAATAGTCTATCATCTTTTGAAAACTATCTTGTGAAATGTTATCATAGTGTTTTATGATGAGAAGATGAGAAGCACCAGGAAAAGAAAGGGAGTGAGACTATTCAAAGTTTCAGTCCTTTCTACCAGAGAGTCTCTAGTTTGTTGGCTGTCTCTCTAGTATGCATATTAGGAGTTAACTTCCTTGGGTGAAAATGAATTCTTCTAACTTTCACCATTCTTCCTGTATGAAAAATAATCGATGTTTCAATTATTTAAAATTGATATATTAGGTTTAATAAGAGGTAAATTCAACGTAGAATTCTATTTATATTCTACAACTCTTAATATTTTTTATACTTGTTATTATTTAATGACTATTCTGCATAAAATATCCCACTGGTGAACAACCTGTTAAGAAAATTAACCATGTAAGGAAAAATCTTACAAATGCATGTAATGGCATTATACAAAACCACCAAACTTTTTAAATATTGTCTTAGAAATGCCTGAAATGGATATTCTTCAAACATTGTACAGCAAACATTTATTCTCAGACAATATATTAGAGATTGAATGGGATATGTGCTACAATTTACTGAGGTTTATCTGAGAATCTAACATGATCGAGCACCCCATATACTAAGTTTTGCAAGTCAAATTAATAATAAGCTTTTAAAAAGTAAGGTTTTGATAAACATTTACACATTCCAAACTTTGGCTTCACTTCAATTTTTAAATATCACCATCATTTCTCACAAATAAAAGTGAGGTAGCATATGTATCTAATTTATTACTTTGAACATTAAAATACCATATTGCACCAGTGAACCTTCATTAACAATTAGAAACTTTGTGTGGTCCATTTGAGAAATTCACCTCTTACTGGTCTGTGTAGTATTTATGGTCAGACATTATAGTAAGTTCCCACACACCTAGTACTCAAAATCCAAGACAGTAAGTATCCACTTACCTTTAATAAAGAATCAGATTTTCCTTTCTAATATTATACCTATTTTCTTTGTGCAAAGAGATTTTATAACTTTCTTCTCTATGGTAAATCTCCCTAGGGAAATTTTATTTAATTTCATTCACATCATTACAACTAAGTCACTTGAGAAACTTAAAAACAATGCTTAGTATTTGGTGCTAATTACTTAGGATGATCTACATGTTCCCCTGTGGAAATATGTAAAGAACAATTCAAAGACAGAAACAAAATATCGTGAATGAGTGATGCAGTCCCAAAAAGATCTCCAATGTAAAGACACTCTTACATTCACTTCAATGGGGATTACAATTAAAGTACAAGTGTCTAGCTCAGAAAATATTATAGCTGGAGAGAAATTTTATTCTACTACAAGTAGAATCATTCTATGTGTATGGAATATATTTTCATACGTTTAAGGTGCTATTCACTATGACTTATCAGAAATAAAATCTACTCTTAATACAGTAATCCAAATCTCATAACTGTGTATATTTCCTCTTTTTGACTTCAAAAATGGAAAAAATGAGAAAATATCAAATAGAGTAAGAAGTTGATGTGTCATTAAAACAGATATTTAATTTTGATCTATTTGCCTATCTTTAAATTAAGACAAAGGATGTGTTAATAACAACAAGATCTGCATCCGTGCTTTAAATTGTCCTACCAAGTGCCCAATTGAACTAGGAATGTTTACTTTTGGATCTGCTCACAGGACTCTGTGACTGTGGTGCCAAGACCAGGGACACAGGCAGGGAATCCTGAATTGAAATACATTCTAATCTACACAGTGAGTTTTCATTCATCCAGAGAGACACAAGATTGTCTAAGATAATGAGATAAAAGAGAGATATACAAGGAAATTATTTCCTGCTTTTACCCCTAAACAAAAGTTTCCCAGTATCATGCAACTACATATCACTCACAGATATTACTTCTGTTGCTGAATTTCACATTAATGGAAACACCAAATACATACTCCCTATTTTCTTATGTCAGTCTTCACATTACTAGTGAAAATTACCCATGCCTTGATTGTTTTGTTGTATCAAGCTCTGTTGTATATATAAAGTCTCCCATGATGGAGATTGTGATACTAATAAACAAACTAAATAAATAAAAACCACATGGTCATCCCTTTTGAAAATCCGATACAAATACTCTTGCATATTTGATGATGCTTCATTCAATCTTTCTTTACTATAATTCTCAGAGAACAATCCTGGATCTTAGAATCCTGGAAATGCTTCAGACTTGTACCTCTTTATTACTGATTCAATGTATAACAGTCTCATTTCCCTATTCATATAGTAAATGTGAATTTGGTTTAGTTCATTATTTTAACACAGAAATTAGGCACACAAAGTATTTCCTTACTTTTTAAAATCTTCACTTATGTGTAATTGTAAACACTTATTCATATAAGAGTTAATCATTTTCATAAAGTGTGTAAACATTTTGCATTTTGTTGAAAATTTATTTCCTTTTTTCATGTTATTATAAATTGATTATTTTCTTGCAAAATATATCCTGATTATGGTTTCCTTTCCCCTATTCCTTTCAAGTCCTCTCAAATTCCCATGCCATCCATACCCACCACTTTTCTGTCTCTCACTAGAAGAGGCTTCAACGGGATAATAATAAAATATATCAAAGTAAATTTAAGATAAAAACTATCATATCAGCATTGAACATAGCAAGCAAAAATAAGAAAAATAGCTCAAGAAAGGACTCAAAAATCAGAGACTCAATCATTTCTATATTCAGGAATCCCATTAAAATCCTTAACGATGTTGTAGATATTCTGCAACTTTGGGTCTGTGGGTCAATCCCTTCATGTGATCCAGAATATCATAGAAGTAGTGGATATTGGGGTGGTCCTAGTCATAATCCCAGATCTGGACCTTGGCAACTGTAGGCTTGGTCCACAAGGCCAGTTCTTCCCTCTCCTCAACACCAGGGTGAGCTCTCCAGCATTGCCTCAGCTAGTTTTACTCTTTCATCAGTAAGTGCCAGTTTAGATGGCAACAACAGGATATCCAGGAAGAGTCTAAGTAAGGAACTAGCATCAAGAACATAGTAGAAACCAAAGGTTTACAACCAGGTCAATGACTCTTTGCAATGAACATGAGTATAAAAGTATATGGACAAAGGGATTTGCTGCATGACTCCCTCCAAACCCTATCATATAACTTTCCTTTTTTCATTAATTGTTGATCGATATACCATGCTTAATGTGTATAATGTTAATTATATACATGCTATAAAGTCTGATTTTTCATTCTTTACATGTTTATTTTTTATTTATTAGCATTTCTAAATTTTCTTTTCAAGATTTTAATAACTTTTTCCATCTACTTATTTAGTGATTGAAT